AATAGAATAGAATAGAATAGAATAGAATAGAATAGAATAGAATAGAAGTCTTTATTGGCCAAGTGTGGTTGGACACACAAGGAATTGTGTCTTGGTGCAAATGCTCTTGTGAGAGTAGAGCTCTTGTGTTGACAGAAGCTGAGTTTAAGTTCTGGCCCCAGTTGCAACTTGGCCAAATCTCTTCTTACAGATAGTCCCCTCTTCTTACAGATAGTCCTTAACTTACAACAGTTCATCTAGTGACTGTTCAAAGTTACAACGGCACTGAAAAAAAGTGAGTTACAACTGTTTTTCCACACTTAGGACCATAGTAGCAACCCCATAATCAAGCGATCAAAATTCAAACGCTTGGCAACTGACTCATATTTATGACGGTTGCAGCGTCCGGGGGTGGGTGGGTGGGGGTCATGTGATTCCCCTTTTGCGAACTTCTGACAATCAAAGTCAATGGGGGAAGCCACATTCACTTAATAATTGTGTGACTAACTTAAGAGCTGCGGTGATTCACTTAACAACAGTGACAAAACTCAAAGGGATTAGACATATCAATAAAGTAATAAAAGAAATTAATGTAACAGACTGTATTTGTATTATGTATATGGGAGTGTGATTGTTGCTATGGTGTTAAGATGAATAAGAAGAATATTGTTAATAATGGATAAGTAATTTGAAATATGTACCTAATCGACGCATGATGAAAATGGAATGGATTTTCTTGTATATGAAAAATAAAACAAATTCAATAATAATTAAAAAAGCCAACGGTAGCAAGAAAGGTTGTAAAATGAGGCAAAACTCACTCAACGAGTGTCTCGCTTGGCAACAGAAATTTGGAGCTCAATAGTGTAAGTGTAAGTCGACGAACTTCCTGTGTTCTGTTTCTCCTGCCTCCTTTAGGTCACGTTTACCAAGAGAAAGTTCGGGTTGATGAAAAAGGCCTACGAACTGAGCGTCCTTTGTGACTGTGAGATTGCCCTGATCATTTTCAACAGCACCAACCGGCTCTTCCAGTATGCCAGCACTGACATGGACAAGGTTCTCTTGAAGTACACGGAGTACAGCGAGCCCCATGAGAGCCGAACCAACTCAGATATTCTGGAGGTAAAACATGGGGAGGTTCCCGAAATCCAGCTTCCTCAAAGTGCTGGTTGGATTTTGGCACATCAGAAACCATCTGGGTGGACCTTGATGCTCTCTGAGCTTAGTTGTTTTCTTGCAGACGTTTCATTACCCAAACCAGGTAACGTCGTCAGTGCTAGTAGGGAGCGTTTCATTAACCTGACTGGGTAACATCAGGAAGAGCCATGGTGGCGCAGTGGTTAGAGTGCAGTAAGATAAAGGTAAAAGTTCCCCTCACACATACGTGCTAGTTGTTTCCATTTCTAGGGGGCGGTTCTCATTTCCATTACAAAGCCGAAGAGCCAGCGCTGTCCGAAGACGTCTCCGTGGTCATGTGGCCGGCATGACTAAACGCCAAAGGCGCACGGAACGCTGTTGCCTTCCCACCAAAATGGTCCCTATTTTTCTACTTGCATTTTTTTAACGTGCTTTCGAACTGCTAGCTTGGCAGAAGCTGGGACAAGTAACGGGATCTCACTCCGTTACACGGCACTAGGGATTCAAACTGCCGACCTTCTGATCGACAAGCTCGGCATCTTAGCCACTAAACCACCGCGTCCCTTTCTAGAGCGCCGTACTGCAGGCTAATTCTGCTGACTGCTGGCTGCCGGCAGTTCAGTAGTTCAATTCTCACCGGCTCAAGGTTGACTCAGCCTTCCATCCTTCTGAGGTTGGTAAAATGAGGACCCAGATTGTTGTGGCAAGATGCTGACTTTGTAAACCGCTTAGAGAGGGATGTAAAAGGTTGGTTGTGGCCGTTTATTTTTCAGCGATGATAGCAACAGCAATAGCCTGCGAAGCGGTATATAAGTCTAAGGGCTATTGCTGTTGCTATCATCGCTGAAAAATAAATGGCCACAACCAACCTGTGACACCATCAATGGCCCCCACAGTCCAGTCCTGAGCTACAAATCTTCTCTTCGATCAATACCAAATCCATCTTTTTTAAAAGAATGAATCTGATGCATTTATGAGGTCTGCGCTTTTGGCAAACTATACATGTGCTGTTTGTGTATAGTTTGCCGTACCTTTTAGTTCTTCTGTGTTAGAAATGCAGATGTGGTTTGATAAACAAAGCAATGTTGAAGTCGTTGTAATAGATACTCCTCGCTTAATGACCATCAAAGGAGAATATGTGTAGCTCAGGGTTGAAATGAGGGTGATCTCTGAGCTTGGTTATTTTCTTGGAGACGTTTCATTATCCAAACTAGGTAACATCATCAGTGCTAGAAGGGAGTGGGGTTTTATCTCAGCTTATATTCTGAGTTTGTAATTCCAGGTTCAATTGCAGTCGTAAATCGAAGATTACCTGTATAAGCCAAACACAAATTGGGCATGTAACTCAATTGCAGTTCAGCTGTATTTAATTTAATCTATATATATAAAATACCACTCATGCATCAACACAAAATCTCCAGAACTGTAAAGCCTACAAACTTGAAATTTGGCACCTGTGTTCCTCCTTGCTTCTAGGTGCTCACTAAGAAAGGATTTTTCGAAATGATCATCAGAGCATTAGTATTTCCTATCTTATTATTAACACGCTCTGATGCTAAGGAGTTCTACTCCCCCTCCCCACCTGAAAAGAAATCTGTTCCAAATGCAAAACACAAGCAGAGGAGAGGAGGTTCAGTTTCAGTTTCACAGCAGCAACCAGCTTGAGTGCAGAACAGTTGAGCTAAGGCACGTCCAGGCTCCTTGCTGTTTCCTTGTTCACACAGCAAGTACTCTTTTAGTTTCCAAACAGCCCTCAACTCTCTCACACACTGACAGATGTGTGCTAGCCAGATGAATACCGATGGATGCTGGTAGCCAGAGGCAGAATTTTTTTCTCCCTTATTTTCCTCCCCCAAAACTAAGTCCAGTCATATAGTTTCGTAGTGAAGCATGGGTATCCAGCTAGTGGCATTATATTTGTTTGATTTTACATATATATTATTAATGTACTTAAATCTCTGCAGACCCTGAAACGAAAAGGCTTGGGTTTTGAAGGTGCAGAACTGGATCTTGTAGAAGCGTTGGACCCAGCTGAGAAACTGAGGCAGCTGGATGAAGGAATGGACCTTAGATTAGCCCGGCCAAAACTTAGCGTGAGTATTGCTCTGGATGAAAAGAAACAAACAAACCTGCCTCCATTTACAACAGTTCATTTAATGACCATTTGAAGTTACAACAGCATTGAAAAGAAGTGACTTATGAGTGTTTTTCACACTTATGACCGTTGCAGCATCCCCATGGTCACATGAGCAAAATTCAGATGTTTGCAGCTGACCCGTATTTATGACGGTTGCACTGTCCCGGGGTCATCTTTTGCGACCTTTGATAAACAAAGTCAACCGGCAAGCCAGATTTGCTTAACAACTGTGTAACTGTAGCTTGACCACTCCAATGATTCACTTAACAACTGTGGCAGGAAAGGTTGTAAAATGGGGCAAAGTTCATTCTACCAGCAACAGAAATTTTGCGCTCAAATACAGTTGTACGTTGAGGACTACCTCTACAGGTCCTGCTATGAATTTTGCATTCATTTGCCCCTAAAGGTGGCTTCGAAATGCTTTTTTAATATATATATAGTAGAGATGGGCCGAATAGGTTGAATGCCAACTACTGTCAAAACATTTGGAAAGGATTGTTTTGATTGAGCAGTGGAAGGATTCAGATACTATTTTGAGCATTCTGCATTGGAACAGTTCCAAACTCAGCTTGGAAAACTTCCAGAATTGTCGTAAAAATTCTTCCATCCAGATTGCAACAGACTTCCAATACGCTGGCCAAGAAATGTGCTCATTTTTTACTTTTCTAAATGTTGCAGCTGAGTCACCAGTTCCAAAGTATAAATGGAACTGGTCAGTGCTGGGATTCAGATTTTTTTACTACCGGTTCTGTGGGAGTGGCTTGGTGGGCGTGGCAGGGGAAGGATACTGCAAAATCCCCATTCCCTCCCCAACCCACTAACCTGCTTTCCACCTCTGTTCTCTTGTGCAGGGCAACGAAAGGAGACCCAGCCGATCAGCTGGGACTCAATGGGAGGCGGAGAATAGATGGGGGCAGGGCCAGTCAGAGGTGGTATTTGCAGGTTCTCCAAACTACTCAAAATTTCCGCTACCAGTTCTCCAGAACTGGTCAGAACCTGCTGAATGCCACCTCTGGAACTGGTGTTTTAAAATGCATCTATTTATTTATTTTATTTTATTTATCTGATTTGTCAGTCGCTTAATAGGAATAAGTATAAACATGAGTAAGAATACAGGAAATAGGTATGCTTAAATGGGGACAATAGGACAGGGACGGGAGACACGATGATGCACTTATGCACGTCCCTTACAGACCTCTTAGGAATGGGGTGAGGTCAGTAGTGGATAGTTTGAGGATAAAGGAGTGGGGGGGTTAGAGGATGTGACAACAGAGTCAGGTAGTGCATTCCAGGCATTGACCACTCTGTTGCTGAAGTCGTACTTTCTGCAATCGAGTTTGAAGCGGTTTACATTGAGTTTGTATCTGTTGTGCGCTCTTGTATTGTTTGTGGTTGAAGCTGGAGTAGTCATTGACTGGTAGGACATTGTAGCAGATAATTTTGTGTACTGTGCTTAAGTCCATGGATAGTCATAAAGGATGGAAGACATTATAGTGGGAGAAATTGCTTGCCAGGAGTTGCAAGTCATATGAAAAATGTGTATCGTGCACAGATGAGGGGAATTTCATATGTGATACCTGTTCATTTTTTCATGCGAGCTCTTTGGATTCACCAATACACAGACTGATGTGGAAATGAAAGAAGAAAAAAGTAAGGTTGGAACCATGAAAAACAGAATGAGTCCAGATTAAAAAATCCAGGTAGTCCTCGATTTACAATGGTTCATTTAGTGACCATTCAAACTGAACGGCACTGAAAAAAAATGACTTAGGACTGTTTTTCACCCTTATGACCATTGCAAGGATCCCCATGATCACGTGATCAAAATTCAGATGCCTGGCACGTGGTTCATATTTATGATGCTTGACGTCACATGATCCACCTTTGTGACCTTCTGACGAGCAAAGTCAACGGGGAATCCAGATTTGCTTAACAACCGTGTTACCAACTTAACAACTGCAGTCGTTCACTTAATGACTGTGGCAAGAAAAGTTATAAAATGGGGCAAACTCACGTATCAAATGTTTCACTTCGCAACATAAATGTTGGGCTCAGTTGGGGTCGTAACTCCAGGACTATCTTATCCACATACTTAGGCACCTTTAAGTAAAAACCATCCTTGACTCCCTTTGTTGAGAAAGGTATAGTTTACTAAAGATCGATTACAGTACAGTAAAGCAGTGATATTAGCAGTGATAAAGGTCAAGTGATATACGGTAAAGCAAAGCCAGAACAGAGTTTCATGGGCCAAATCCCTAGGGATAACTTTTCCCTCCCCAAGACTTCCCATTCCTGGTCTCCCCAACATCCAGTCAGTTTTAAAAGATTTTTTTTGAAGCAGTCACTCCTGCGGCTGCATTCCTCTCCCAGGGAAACGGCCTTGAGGCATGCTTCTTTACATCAATTCCACTTTCCCTGGAGCATCCACCTTCCTTTCCATTTTCTTCCAAGGTCCATGGCAGACTGGCATTAAACGATTGCGAAGCGCAGGCATGAAATGGTGCTTCTGACACACGCTTAATATTGAATGTGCTACACCTCACTTTGTGAACAGCAAAGGACCGGGGAATTGTGGGCGTTGAAGTCCACAAGTCTTAAAGCTGCTAAGGTTGGACACCCTTTGTCAACTCTGAAGTGAACCTGTCATGCCCTTGTTGGAGTCTGATTCTGAGGGGGAGATTGAGGAGCTGACAGGGAGTGGGAGTGTGGATCCGGTGGCCATGGAAGACATGGGGGAAGGGCACAGTCCTGCTGGGCATTCAGAGGAAGACCCAGGGCCACCCCCTTTTCATCCTAGGGCACACAGGGAGGAACAGAGAAGGGAGCAACATGGCTTACGGGAGAGAAAGGGGCCCTGATCCCTTTCATTAGTTGCAGCTGGGAGAACAGGATATAATAAGGGCATTTGCACACAGCTCCTTGCTGCAAGCAAAGCATGCATTATTTTTCTCGAGGCTTATCTGGGTTTTGGCGTCCTCCCAACTGTGTGTGCGTTGTTATCTTTTGGAAGTCTGCAATTTACTATCCTGGCCTGTCGTGTTAATTACTTCAGTGTGATTTGTGTTGGGTTTTTTTATTTCTAATTTATCTGTACTATGGGTTCGGACTGCATTTCTTTCCTTTGTAGACTGTTTTTGGAAGAGTTTGATCTCCAGCCAAGGATAATTGCACATTGGGGGCCAAGTTGGAGTTATTAAAGGGAATGTATCTATTTTTGTGACTTGTTATTTTTGTGCCACGCCTTGGGTCATCACAGAACCTGGCTGAAGCCATCTTGTGCTGTCTCATAGTTGCCACAAAGCCAGAGAGATGGGAAGGGAGAGGGGAAGTAGATAGCCAGGATCCAGTCAAAACAAAATGCTTTCTTGTGGGAACCAAGGTCATTGAAACAGGTTGGCCATTGAAAGAGGAGAAGAGCCTTCCTTCCATCTTCCTGGACAATATGACAACTGGGGGAGGGGGAGTTTGATTCTTTTAATTAGGTGAAAACCACGGGAACTGTCAGAGTTGGTTTTCACCGGCTGTGCCAATATGATCTATCCAATATACATACCCTTTGAGGAATCTACCTGCCTCGGAGTTATGCTTTCAATGAGTGCATTACTCGGAACGCTGACACCCCTGACATAGAAGGAGATTTTCAACAGATCTTCCCAGGATGTCCTCAGCAAACAGGCTCATTCCATTCTAACTCAAAAGAGCCCAAATAATCAACTTCTCGCCTCCTGATCATTTTTGATGTTCTCTTTTCCTTGTAGTCAGCGGCTTTCCTGTCTAGCCTGGAGGGGGCGTCCTTGGGAACACCCCCATCTGGAGGTGAAGGTGGGGCAAGCAATTCAGGCGAATCTCCGGTTCAACAGAGCCGTCTGCAGCAGTTGAAGCCAACTCTTCCCAAGCCAGCCTTCCCTTCTGTGCGATCCCCGGCAACCCTTGGACCAGGTATGTCATTCCCATAAGAGCCTGGATGAAATGCTTGGGTTTCACCTCTCTGAGTACAGGTAAGTCCTCAGCCTACAACCAAGTACAGGTAGCTCTCGGCTTACAACTTGGGCTGCATCAACAGAGGTACAAGCTCCAACAAAGCCAAAAAACCCAAATAGTTATTACAAAACAAAAGATAAAAAAAATACAATAAAGCTGGTGAGGAGGGATAGCACAACTTAGGAAAAGTAAAAAGGGCACACTGCACTTTGTTTGATTATCCAAGGCTCTTATTATAACTCTCTTCTCCAAAAACTTATCACCTTTCCCCCCCCACGTTTCAACACCAGACTCCAGCTGTTGATAGAAACCCAGAAGAGCACCTGCAATAATACTCTCCCATGCTCTTCCCTCTATCTTATCAAATAGCAATGTCCTTGAAAAAGAGTCTCAGTTCTTTCTTTCTCAGCTTTGTCTGGTCACAGGGAAATAGAATATTTTCAAGCCTCTAGTTGGCAGTGTTACAAAGTTTCTTTGCGCTCACTTTCCCCCTCCTTTTCCGAGCAGGATATAATAAGAATTAATAAAAAAAGAAAAGATATTTTTTAAAAAATGAAATAACTAAAGGGAGCCTCTAGCCTAAAATATTACAAAATCAAAAAGAAGAAAAAAATAGATATAAACGAAAAAACCAGTCCAGTTTCAAAATACCAGATCATATATGGAAAATCCAGCAATGAGAAAAAACAACAACACATTACTTTGACATTCCTGTTTGGGAGCTTGGGAGCCTGTTTTCTCTGACAGTGGATTGCAGGAGGCCGTCGTAGCTGAAAACGGAGCTCGGGAGCCTGTTTTCGCTGGCAGTGGGTTGCAGGAGGCCGTCGCAGCTGAAAACGGAGCTCGGGAGCCTGTTTTCGCTGGCAGTGGATTGCAGGAGGCCGTCGCAGCTGAAAACGGAGCTCGGGAGTCTGTTTTCTCTGGCAGTTGATTGCAGGAGGCCGTCGCAGCTGAAAACGGAGCTTGGGAGCCTGTTTTCGCTGTCAGTGGATTGCAGGAGGCCGTCGCAGCTGAAAACGGAGCTCGGGAGCCTGTTTTCTCTGGCAGTGGATTGCAGGAGGCCGTCGCAGCTGAAAACAGAGCTCGGGAGCCTGTTTTTGCTGGCAGTTGATTGCAGGAGGCCATCGCAGCTGAAAACAGAACTCGAGTGCCTGTTTTCGCTGGCAGTGGATCTCAGGAGGCCATCGCAGCTGAAAACGGAGCTTGGGAGCCTGTTTTTGCTGGCAGTGCTCAGGCCACCCAGGAGCCCCTGACACGAGTGATGTCGAGCTGGCCATGACCCTCTGGCCACACACCCCTGGTGCGGCCCTCAGTGAAACTGAGTTTGACACCCCTGACCTCAAGGAACTGGGTCTGTTTGGCGCAGGGGTGTCCAACCTTGACAATTTTGAGACATGTGGTCTTCAACTCCCAGAATGTCAAATAATTATTTAATTAAGGGTGGTTTCCTGTCCTCTTGCATGACGAGCCATACTACAGTACTGCATTTTGGTATAGTGGTAAGGCCAGGCCATCTAGGAATGGGGCTTTGGGTCTTCTGGACTGTCACCAGCCTGAATTTCATCCCTTTTCTGACTCTGCAGGCATCGGGTACTCGATCTTCTCCCATAGCAACCTCAGCCGTGTGTTGTCAAGCAAAACGCCTCCCCCGCTCTATCTGGGAGCTGACTCCCGTCGGGTGGAAGGACAGCTTTCGGCAAGCAGGAACAATCTAGCATCCACAGTGAGTAACTTAACAATATCCATCTGTTGTTGTTTTTCTTTTGGGCGGGGGGAGTAGATGGCAATAGCACTTAGACTTCTATACCGCTTCATAGATTTTTACAGCCTTCTCTATGCAGTTTACAGAGTCAGCATATATTGCCCCCAACAATCTAGGTCTTTATTTTACTGACCTCGGAAGATAGAAGGCTGAATCAGCCTTGAGCTGGTCAGAAATGAACTGCTGGCAGTTGGCAGAATTTCATTGGATAGTGTGTGTGTGTGTGTGTGTGTGTGTGTGAGAGAGAGAGAGAGAGAGAGAGAGAGAGAGAGAGAGAGAGAGAGAATGCGAGAGGGAGGGAGGGATATGTATAGCAATAGCACTTAGACTTCTATACCGCTTCACAGTGCTTTTACAGCCCTCTCTAAGCGGTTTACAGGGACAGCATATATTGCCCCCAACAATCTACAGTATGTTGCTCCCTTTCCTATTCCTCCCCGCGTGCCTAGCTGGACTGTGCCCTTCCCCCATTTCTTCCACAGCCACCGGATCCACACTCCCATTCCCTGTCAGCTGCTCAGTCTCCCCCTCAGAATCAGACTCCAACAAGGGCATGACACAATTACAGTCATAAGTCAAGGACTGTGTTCTGACCCAGCTCCCCGATCATGACAAAGCCTCTGAAGTTAACTCAAAGATTCCTTTATTAAGAGCGCCAGCAGCCCCAGCAAAAAGTTTCTCTCTCACCACAGGCTAACAAGTCCATCCAGCAGGGTGATGAATAGTTGTCTGCCACATCTATTCATCTCCGCCTCCTGCCTTTTATCCCCAGAGCTAGGGTTGGGCTTCGCTAATAGCAGTGGCTCTTCCTTCCCAAGGACCGGCCCATGGATTTCCACTGCTCTCCTCTCCTCTGCCTTCTGCGCATCTACACGTCAGGCACTGGACCCAGCTGTTCCTCCTCTTCCTCATCAGCCACCTCCAGACCTGAGGACTGACGGATGGCTCAGGCACCTCCTCTGTCTCTCTCTCTCTCTCTCTCTCTCCCTCTCCCTCTCTCTCTCTCTCTCTCTCTGCCAGCTCCATTCCCTCTTCCCCCTCGGAGCTCTCAGGTTCCCTTGATGCTGACCCTGACTCCCACGCCTCCTCCTCCTTTAATTTGGCTGCTGGAGGGGCTGGCGGCCGACAAGGCGCAACAGACGGCCTGTAATGGTACCCAAATGTGTATTGATAAAACTTTGGACAAAAATGGCCATTTTATTGGGCGCAAAGGAATCCTCATCCCCGCTAAAACTGACAAAGCGAACTGATACCTATAAACAGGGAGCAAACCCCACACTCCCTGACACTGATGATGTTACCTACTTGGGCAATAAAACATCTGCAAGAAAAAAAACCGAACTCAGGGGACACCAACAACACCACAGTTCAACCTCTGTGCTGCAGATACTGTCAGGGGTGGGCTTCAAAATTTTTAGCAAAGGGTTCTCTGCCTGGTCACTGGGTGGGTGTGGCCATGGTGGGCGTGGCCTAGTTGGCCTCCTGCACCATGGTGGTGAGAGGGGCGTTTTTGCCCTCCCCAGGCTCCGGAGGCTGTCCTCAAGCCTCTGGGAGAAGGAAAATGGCCTTCCCGAGCTCCGGAGACTCTCTGGAAGCCGGAAATGGGCCCATTTCTGGCCTTCCCGAACTTCTGGGAGGCCCGTTTTTTGCCCTGCCCAAGCCTCCCCGCGCACCCTGCACTTTCCTGCATCCAAAACAGACCGCCTGGGGACTCCTGTGAGGGGAGGGGTAGGCAGGACAGGGCAGGGCCAGCCAGGAGAGGGATTTGGGGGTTCTCCAAACTGCACAGAATCTTAGCTAGGGGCTCTCCCGAACCCCGGCGAACCCCGAGCAGCCCACCCCTGGATGCTGTCCTCTATTGAAAAAAAACATTTGATGGGTTAGTCAGTAGATGAAAAACATGACAGGAGGTGATTTCAATCTGATTCTCTTTTCCCACAGCACCCGTTGTATCCCGGGCTTCAGAATCTGAGTCCCGTATTGCCCGCTGGAGGTCTACCTGGACGTGGGCTACCAGGATACCCCTTCCTCTCCTCCACCCCATCAGGTATGCTCCACACAGGGTTCTAGGTGTGAATAAAGAACCTCTCAGCCAGTCGTTGAGTATTGAAGATATGTCCTGAAATGAATACAAACTCCAGCTCCTTTGTCATGCAATGGTGATTTATTCATTAGCTCAGCAAACAACAAACACTCTTCTCTGACAAGAAAGGCTAAAAGCCAAGCAAGGTTAGAGTTGGGTTTGAGTTTGCTCCCTTTCCTTTTATTACCATTATCATGAGACACACCTGTTGAGGTAATTCCCCGTTAGGAGAACGAGCGCATACAGGGAGACGTATTTGAGAGGAGTGTTTGAATAATACACACACAGCATACAGATACACTGTACAGTAAATATAGGTTTTTACTTCCAGAAATGTTAAGCAAAGTTCAAGATAAACAGTCCAAAGTCATTCACAGGTAAAATCAGTCAGTTTTCAATCCAGGGATAATCCGAATATCAAATTCCAGTGTGAGAAACAGTTCAGTATCAGACTTACATTAAATCCAGTAATATCAGTCAATTAGAAGAAATGGAGCAACGGCAATACTTTCCAACAGAAGGAAACAGAGATTCACTCACACTCTCTTCTGAGACTCAGACTAAGACTAAAACAACCCAGGTTTCTGGCTCCATCTTATGGCCATTTGAGTAACCACACCCAATTGCAGTTTTTAGCATGCTCTTAAAGAGACAGTATTAAAATGTCTATCCTGGTTTATATATTTCTAACCCAAATACCTGTTAGGTGACTTATATTCCTAACAACACCCCACCACACCCAGGCCTATACGCAGTTCTCATTCTGGCCACACCTAACCCATTATCCCTAAATGCTATTAACCCTATAACATGTCTACATCCCTACCCTATTCCAACTCTCACTAACTGATCCCCACCTGGTGCTACCTTCACCATGTTTTAATCTAAGGCTGAATTACCACCTATATGTGCCCCAACCCCCTTTAACAATATGCACCACATCAATACAAGACAAGAGCCATTTCCAGCAGCCCCGCAGTTGTTTCAGAATCCATCCTCAGCTCTGCTGAGTCATTCCAAAGCCATCGGCCAGCACACAAGCAGAAATACAGATCCAGCAGCAGCAGCAGAGATAAGGTGGCATGGCCAGCTGACTTGCTGCAAGGCATATTCGAAGCTGATGGGCTCCGAGTGAACTCGGAGCCCGACAGAACCTTATGTCGCCATGTCCAAGGCTAATTCTAGTGATCTTCTGGCAACTATGTTTGCTTAAGTTTCTAAGTCTTTTGAAAAATTTCCTAACCCTGGTAGCAATAGCAACAGCAGTAGCACTTAAACTTATTATATACTGCTTCACAGTGCTTTACAGCTCTCTCTAAGCAGTTTATAGAGTCAGTGTCAACTCATAAAATATTTCTCTGGTCTTTTAGAGTTGCCAACAGGAAGGAAGGGGGGAGCAGTGCGGCAGCTTGGAAACTGAAAGTGCATTCCAGAAATAGTTTTCATAGATAGTTTCCAGGCGACCGAAGTTTCTGTCGCAAAATTCTAACTGGAGAGTATGATTGATGACTCTTGACTATGGATGTGTTCCATTGGAGAATATGAATTACAATACACTCAGGGGGTGGAGGGAAAACCAGGGTCAAGAGTGACAATGAATTATATGTTTCAGAGTCGGCTACACCCAGGCAGTGCCGGCATGTTAACTCCCAATAAATCCTTTTTAAGTTTTGGACCTTTGGCTCGAGACTCATGTTTTAAATGGGGGTAACTATCGGAGCCCTGACAGCATATTGGCGCCAACAATCTGGGACCTCATTTTACCGACCTTGGAAGGATGGAAGGCTGAGTCAACCTTGAGCCTGGTGGGATTCGAACTGCTGGCAGTCGTCAGGCAGCAGAATTAGCCTGCAATGTTGCAATCTAAGCACTGCACCACCACGGCTCACTGGTAACTGTGTAAGCAGCTTCTTGTTTCCTGGGGCCTCCATCACTGGAGGTTTTCAAGCCAAGGTTGAAGAACCGTTTGTCTGGGATGGTGTAAGGATCCTTGCTACCAGCCTTTTGAGGTAGGGCCAGGTCAGGAAACAAGCTCCTTCCACTTTCTCTGCGTCTTAGAATTTGTTCAATTGTTATTTTGCTTTTCCCAAATCAGCTCCTTGGCTCTCTCCATCTGTCCAGGACAAGAGATTGATCTTAGACCAGTTTTTCTCAACCTTTGGCCGCTCTTAACATACGTTGGACTTCCAACTCCCAGAATTCCCCAGCCACATTGCTGGCTGGAGAATCCTGGGAGTTGAAGTCCACGTGTCTTACGAGTGGCCAAGGTTGAAAAACACTGGCCTCAGAAGATCTCCAAGTCCTATAATGCAATTTTCTAACTCTATTTATAGCAGGAAGTTTGGATTTGCAGTGAGAGATATTTGTTTTCAGGTAGTCCTCTACTTACGACCACAATTGGGACCAAAACATCTTCCATCACTAAGCGACGCAGTTGTTGCATGACCTGCACCCAGTTGTTTTTTTTAACTTTTGCTGATGTGGGTCATTAAATGAAGCACTGTGGTCATTAAGTGAATCATGCGGTCTAGCTTCTTCATTGATTTTGCTTGTCGGAAACCCCCTGGAAAGGTCACAAATGACAATCAGATGATCCCAGGATGCTGTCATAAAAATATGCCGGTTGCTAAGAGCCCAAATTTTGATCATGTGACCATGGGAATGCTGTCATAAGTGTGAAGACTGGTCATACATTTTTAAGCGCCGTCAAAACTATGAACGATCATTCAATGAATGGTCATAATTCGAGGACTACCTAAAGTTGTGAGAACTTCCAAGCATGTTATAAAGACAATGAACCTCTTCAACGGAGCTGTCAAATCTGGTTTATTGTTGTATCGTTTAAACTTCCCTTTAAACTTCTTTGCCTTCTTGTTTTTTTTTCTCATTGTTTGACTTTCAGAATATACTTTGGGGGAAAGCACCCCACACCCCTTCGGCTTCCAAGGAAACACCACGGCGGCTTGGCAACACCGAGAATATCCAATGCCGGGGTAAGAATTGGCAGGTTGCAAAGAGTGACCCAACAACTGCATGGAAAGCCCTTTGGGCCTAAGTCCGTGCAACATATATGCTCCACCGACATGTCAGCCTGTTTGGTTTCTTAACCTGGGTTTGGCTGTGGTGTGAATTCATGGGTATCAGCTGTCGTTCTGGGTATCTCTCAGAACACATTTTACAGCCCTGCGATCCACCTAAAACCAAACCAGTAACGCTTGTGGATGGGGGAAAGCGGGTGGGGGGTGGTCAGCAGTCTGCGCCATCTTGTATTACAACCATGCACGGAGTTAAGTTGCAAAACTGCCCCATGTTTGGGCCTCTTATGGTTAGTAGATAGCAGGGGTGGGATTCTGCTGGTTCTACAATCGAGATCAAGTGAGGTACTAATACCAATCTATAAAGCCTTAGTAAGACCACACCGAGAGTACTGCCTCCAGTTTTGGTCACCACACTATAAAAAAAGATGTTGGGACTCTAGAACCGTGATGGCGAACCTATGGGCACGCATGCCACAGGTGGCACGCAGAGCCATTTGCGCCAGCAGGCGAGCTGCAGGCAAACTTACCTCACTGCGCATGTGCTCGCCTCACAGCTGATTTTCGGCCAGTTTGAGGCCTTTTTCGGCCCCCCAAAGGCTTGAGGAAGGCTTCTTCAGACTTCTACAAGCTTTGTAGGCCGAAATCTAGCCCCGTTTCATCACTTCCTGTTTTTCCAAAAATACCAGAAGTGACGAAGCGGGGCTAGATTTCGGCCTACAAAGCTTGTAGAAGCCTGAGGAAGCCTTCCTCAAGCCTTTGGGAGGCCGAAAAAGGCCTCAAACCGGCCGAAAATTAGCTATGAGGCGCAGTGCAGGTAAGGGGGTTGCGGTTGGTTGGGGGTGAGATTGCGTGCACATGTGTAGGGGGCGTGGGTGGCGCACGTTGCCTTCTGGTTGCTGGCACACAAGCACGAGCGTGCAATCACACGCACAATTTTTGGCACAGGAGCCCAAAAAGGTTAACCACCACAGCTCTAGAAAAAGTACAGAGAAGAGCAAGCAGGATGATTAGGGGACTGGAGACTAAAGCATATGAAGAACAGTTGCAGGAACTGGGCATGGCTAGTCTAGTGAAGAGAAGGACCAGGGGAGACATGATAGCAGTCTTCCAATATTTGAAGGGCTGTCACAGAGAGGAAGGGATCAAGCTATTCTCCAAGGCACCTGAAGGCCAGAAAAGGAATAATGGATGGGAAACTGAACAAGGAGAGATTCATCCTGGAAATAAAGAGAAACTTTCTGACAGTGAGAACAATCAACCCATGGAACAGAAGTTGCCCTCGGAAGTTGTGAGAGCTTCATCAATTTTGGCTGAATGACTGCACCCTTTATACCTTGTCTGGCGTTCAGGTGGTTTGGAAAATAGGGTGACCCCCTCCTCTCTGTGGCAGCCCCTCAAATATTGGAGCACTGCCATTGTGTCTCCCCTGGTCCTTCTCTTCACTGGACTAGACAGGCCCAGTTCCTGTAATTGTTCTTCATACGTTTTAGCCTCCAGTCCCCTAATCATCCTGGTTGCTCTTCTCTGCACTTTTTCTGGAGTCTCAACATCTTTTTTGTAATGTGGTGAACAAAACTGGAGGCAGTACTCTAGGTGTGGTCTTACTAAGGCTTAGATGAGAATCTTGGACACCTCTTGAGGCTAAAGGCATGTGCAGTTGTGTGTGCCATGAGAAATTCTGAAATTCTTATTTCTCCAATAAATTTGATGCAAAGCCGGATGAACACAATCATTAGCACGATCTTGCTGCCATCTTGTGACCACATTCAGTATCCACAATGAGCAATTCCTACATCCAAAAAAGCTGGAATCTGATTGTGATGCAACACTTTTTGGATTCTGGTCAACCATTGAATTTGACATTAATAAAGGAACAACAATTTGTATGAAGGGGTGTGGTTTTTTTTTAGAACTAATTCACTTAGAATAGCTTGATTCATCTCATGCTTTCAGAGAAAAGTACATCTTTTCCCGGAAAATTCAGAATATAAACTGATTTCTCAGAAGTTTTATACAAGTAGTTCTTGACTTATGTCCATCTGTTTAGTGACCATTCAATGATACAATGGTGCTGGAAAAAATCTGGTCCTCACACTTACGACCAGACCTTGCACTTATAACTATTGCGTCCTCCTGTGATCACATGATCAGACTGGGTGCTTGGCAACTATCTTGTGTTTATGACCTGCAGTCACATAATTTGTGAGCCTTTTTTTTTGCTGCTTTTTGGCAAATGGTCCATTTGGAAGAATTTAGTTTAGTTTAGTTTCGTTTATTGTCATTGCACATCATATAATGAAATTAAATACCATCTTCAGTGTACTATACAGTAGAATTCAATAGAGTTACTGCCCTGGGATAGAAGCTGTTTTTCAGCCTATTTGTCCTTGTTTTTATTATCCTGTACCATCTGCCAGATGGTAATAGTTCAAAAAAAAAAGAGGGTGCCCAGGATGAGATGGATCTTTGAGAATGTTTTGAACTTTCTTAAGGTAGCGGGAGCTATAAAGCTCTTCCAAAGAGGGGAGAGGGCAACCAATGATCTTCTGGGCAATGATGTTAACCCTCTGGAGTGCTTTCCTATCTGCCACTGTGCAATTGGCAAACCATACACAGGTGCAGTAAGTTAAGATACTCTCTGTGGTGCAGCGGTAGAAGGTCACCAGCAGTTTTTCATTCAGTTGTTTTCTGAGAAGTCTCAGGTGGTATAATCTCTGCTGGGCCCTTTTGACCAGGGCTGCAATTTGACTATAAATGGGTTCATACTTAAGACCGTGGCATTCACAGAACAACCGCAGATTTGCTTAACAACCCAAATGATTCTCTTAGCAACCATCTTAAAAATGGTTATTAATTTTGGATCTGCCTCAAATTATGACGACGTAATTCTGCTCCCAGTTGCGCTTGTAAGCCGTGTTGCCACCTGTACACATAATGTATTTCTTTTTTTTCCTTACAGAACAGCAAGCCGGATTTGTGACCAGGCTTCCCTAGTCCCCGCCTCCCCTTCCTTGCACACCCAAATCAGTGTGAAGTCGGAGCGGGCCTCGCCCACAGCCAGCTGTTCTTCGGCTGTCCCCCAGATCTCCACATCTGTGCGTCCCAACCTCTGCAATGTCAACGTCCCCATGGACCTCCCTTCTCAGGAAGATTACATCAAGGGCTACCATTACTCATTCCTTCTGTCCCGGCCTCCGTCAGAAGAACCGAAGCAGCCCAATGTTCCCTCCCATCGCCTGCCGGTGTCTACCGCAGAGGAGTGGCAGAAGTAACCAGGAGGCTCAGCTTGTTCACGCGTGTGCTCAGCGGAGGTGGCTGAACGTAGGCGTGCACGTACGGGCAAGAGTGAATGGCAATCGCGTGCATTCACCTATCAATCATAATAGGGCCAAAGTAGGGAAACAACCAGGGGTGGGCTTCAAAAAGGTTAGCAATGGGTTCTCTGCCTGGCTGCTGGGTGGGCGTTGCCATGGTGGGCGTGGCCTATTCGACCTCCTGCATTATGGCGGGGGCGGGGTTTGTCCTCCCCGGGCTCCGGAGGCTTTCCTCAAGCTCCGAGAGGGCGAAAACCAGAGATGGTATTCAGCAGGTTCTGACCAGTTCTGGAGAACCGGTAGCGGAAATTTTGAGTAGTTCGGAGAACCGACAAATCCCACCTCTGACTGGCCCCGCCCCCATCTCTTCTCCGCCTCCCGAGTCCCAGCTGATCAGCTGGGCCTTCTTTGGTTGCCCTGAACAGGAGAACGGAGCTGGAAAGCAGGTTAGGTGGGGTGGGGAGGGAATGGGGATTTTGCAGTATCCTTCCCCTGCCACGCCCACCAAGCAACACCACGCCCACCAAAGCCACGTCCACAGAACCAGTAGTAAAAGAATTTGAATCCCATCGCTGGCGGAAACAGCCTCCCCGGGCTCCGGAGGCTCTCTGGAAGCCCGAAATGAGCCCATTTCTGGCCTTTCCAAACTTCCAGGAGGACCGTTTTTTGCCCTCCCCGGGCCTCCTGCACTTACCTGCATCCAAAACGGGTCATGTGGGGACTCCTGGGAGGGGAGGGTGCGCAGGGCCAGCCAGGAATGGGATTGGGGGGGGGGGGGGTTCTCCGAACTGCGCAGAATCTTAGCTAGGGGCTCTACCGAACCCCTGCGAACCCCCAGCAGCCCAGCCATGGAAACGACTGATGGCAGAATCGTACATGCAGGACAAACCGCCCCATAAAAGAAGAACTTGGTGGGTAGAACAGAGAAACAGATTACTGGCAGCAGGTTTGAAACATGAAGCCCTCAACTTAGAACTGTTCATTTACAGGTAGTCCTCGACTTGGGAGCCATTCGTTTAGCGGCGCACTGAAAAAAGTGACTTGCGACCAGTCCTTGCCCTTAACGACCATCGCAGCGTTCCCCACAGTCATGTGGTCAAAATTTAGGTGCCCAGCGACTAGCATACATTATGTGATGGTTGAAGAATCCTGAGGTCTCATAAGTCACCATTTGCGACCTGCCCGGCCCGGCTTCCAACAAGCAGAGTCAACGAGGGAAGCCGGATTCACTTCATGACTTCATGATTCACTTAAATGTGATTTGCTTAACAACGTTGGCAGAAAAGGTCAAAAAGCCGGGTCCGGCTCATTTATCCTAACTGCCTTGTTTAGCAATGGAAATTCTGGTCCCAAATGTGTTCGTAAGTTGAGGACTATCTGTATGTGAAGTAGAATTAAGTTGTTGAAGTATCTATCCATTTAAAAAGAGCTGTACGACTTCTCAAAGCCCCAAAATAAGTACAAACAATTTTTCCTCTGTTCACAGGTAACTCCTACTGTGTTTCCCCAAAAATAAGACCCTGTCTTATATTTTTGGAGGCTCCAAAATAAGCACTAGGGCAGTGGTGGCTAACCTTTTTGGGCTCCTGTGCCAAAAACTGTGTGCGCGTTTGCATGCTTGCGCTCGTGTGCCAACACCAGAAGGCAATGCGTCCCCCCACACACCCTACACATGCGCACGCAATCCCAACCTACCCCGCTGCCCCCTTACCTGCACTGTGCCTCAGGTGATTTTTGGCAGGGTTGAGGCCTTTTTTGGCCTCCCAGAGGCTTGAGGAAGGCTTCTGCAGGCTTTGCAGGCCAAAAACTTAGGCCTGTTTTGTCACTTCTGGTATTTCTGGAAAAACAGGAAGTGACAAAACGGGCCTAATTTTCGGCCTGCAGAAGCCTTCCTCAAGCCTCTGGGAGGCCAAAAAAGGCCTCAAATCCACCAAAAATCAGCTGTGAAGCACGCGGATGCACAGTGAGGTAAGTTTGCCTGCAGCTCGTGTGCCGGCACAAATGGCTCTGCGTGCCACCTGTGGCACGTGTGCCATAGGTTGGCAATCACGGCACGGGACTATTTTGGGGGGATGTCTTTTTTCCCCCCAATGTACGGGAGGCCCACTTCTTCTCTCTTGCTCACAGCTGCAGCAGGGCAGGAGGCCGCACAGTTTGCCAGCTGCGAAGCAGGGGGAGGTGGAGCTGCCCCACGCGCCCTGCACCAGCTTACCTCAAGGTCCCACAGGCCAATACCTGCCTTGCTTTGTGGCGGCGCTTCCAACAGCCCCATCCAGCAGGACCCCGCATGGCCTCCAGCCCACTTCTTCTGCTTGCTCGCGGCCACAACAGAGCAGGCAAACTGAGAGTTTACTTTAGTTTTCTTTATTGTCATTGCGCCTCATACAACAAAATTAAATACCATCTTCAGTGTACAATTTATGACTATGAAAATAAATAGAAACATCCTTCACATTCTATAGAATTGAATTGAAAACCCCTGATATTGCATTAATATTGCACTATACAGTAGAATTCAATGGAGTTACTGCCCTGGGATATTTTCAGACTATTTGTACTTGTTTTTATTATTCTGTACCGTCTGCCAGATGGTAATAGTTCAAAAAAAAAAGGGGGCGGGGGTTCCCAGGATGAGATGGATCTTTGAGAATGTTTTGAGCTTTCTGAAGGCAGAGGGAGCTATAAAGCTCTTCCAAAGAGGGGAGAGGGCAACCAATGATCTTCTGGGCAATGACATTAACCCTCTGGAATGCTTTCCTATCTGCCACTGTGCAATTGGCAAACCATACAGAGGTGCAGTAAGTTAAGATACTCTCTGTGGTGCAGCGATAGAAGGTCACCAGCAGTTTTTCATCCAGTTGCTGTTTCCTGAGAAGTCTCAAGTCGTATAATCTCTGCTGGGCCCTTTTGACCAGGGCTGCAATGTGAGCACCCCAGGTCAGGTGGTGGGCGGGAGTGAGCGGATGGCTACAGGAAATTTGTCTTCACATCTCTCAGCTTTCACGCAGCCCACCCAGCACTGCCTCCCCCACTGCGTCTCTGCCTCCGTCTGCTGCCGGTGCTGCTGTGCGAAGATGAGCTTCCTGCATCCGCCCAGCCTCTCCAGCCTACCAACTCTTGGCTTTCTCATGTCCCACGCGGCATGCCTTTCCCTTGCTTCTGCCTCCGCCTGCTGCTTGGATAGGTAATCCACTCACCTGCACTGCATAGACTGTGGCTGCTGTTGGACACCGTCATCCCCCATGCTCTCGCCACCTCCATCCCCCCACTGATGATCTTATCCAGGGTGTCAGGATTCCGGAAGTTACCCCCATTTAAGTCATGACTCTCGAGCCAAACTTGCAAAACTTCAAAAGGATTTATTGGGAGTTAACACACTGGCACTTCCTGGGTGTAGCCGACTCTGAGACACATGATTCATTGTCACCCTTGACCCTGGTTTTCTCCCACCTCCTGGGTGTATCGTAATTCATATTTCTCCAGTGGGACACATCCATAGCCAAGAGTCATCAATGAGATATTTGCACGGCAGAAACGTCAGTCACCTAGTTATTATCTTTTAAAACTATTTATGGAATGCACTTTCAGTTTCCAAGCTGCCGCATTGCTCCCCCCTTTCTGTTGGCAACTCTGAAAAGACCATAGAAATATTTTATGAGTTGACATAGGACTTTTTTGAGGGTAGGCCTTATATTAGGAGCACACTAAAAAAAAACCAGGCTAGGGCTTATTTTTTGGGTAGGTCTTATTTTGGGGAAAACATAGTACCTGTTTTTTCAACCTTTCTACACCTGTCATGATCCTAGTTACAATGTACGGCCTTGCCAGACCTCGGGAGGTTGCCGACCCCTTTAATTAGACAGGGCACTTTGTTCACATTCACAAGCAATCTTGCCATTTTTTAAAAAGCATTTCTAAGGATTCACGCAGAGCTGTTGACAAGCGAGTCAAAGACATTTTGAGAGATCTTTCAGGCTCATTTTTTTTCCTGCTTTTTCACTGAAAGTTTGTGCATTAGGGAACTTTGGTGGATGGTGACAAATGCCTGCAGATCCCAAACATGTCACTTTTATGCTTCTCTAATAAATAGCTGGAGGGATGGATTTGCCATGTCAAGAGCCAATGCAAAATAGACATGTTTGCTGCCCTAGCAATTGAGAACTTGGCATCTGCATACGGAGTGGTGGACCATTTTTAATGGTTTGCATTCAGGTTGGCAATAAAAATATAATGCCTTTTAAATAATTCTGGTATTTCAGTTCTTGTGTTGTGATTTTCTTTTTCTGTTTGGTTTTGAAGAAATTGCTTTCTGTCTTTGACTGCCTGGCTATATTCCCACAACATGCCATGTCAGTGATAAACTTAGCAGTCATACCACATGCTAAACTTTGCCGGTTTTAAGAATTCGTGGGTTTTGGCGATGCATTCAGTCAGTGTCTGGTTCCATATATTCTTTAAATGGGTTAATCTTGTAATTGCTAACCAGATTGAACCTGGCCTCCCTCACCTCAATTTTTTTTTCACAGTCTATGAATATTTATTGGAATGATGTGGTGACAAGAGCAAGCATGGGTGTCTTTAAGAGAAATCATCTCACATTAATCTTACTCCTTTTTTTAAAGCCACATTAGCTGTACAATCACTTTTATCTTATTTCAGCTAATCTTTTTTTAAAAAAAATCCTTATCTCAATTTTGTGTGATGGTGGTGGCTAGCTCAGCCCTTACCACTAGATGGCGATGTTTGCTATTTATTTTTAATTATCTCCCGAATAGCTTCTCCTTCTGCAGATTAATTGGATTTATTTTGATAGTTGAATACATATGTCTACAATGGAAGCACAATCTATTAAGCCCCTTACAACTCAGATCTTAAAAGCTACGAGGATGTTGCATTCATTCATTACATTTATATCCCAATTTTCCACCTGGGGTTAAAAAAATTCACCCTCCGTCAATATCTCTCCAGAATACAGATAGTCCTTGACTAAGCGGACCACCTGAATCCTGAATGGAAAGACAAATAAAGGTAGTCCTTGACTAAGAACCACAATTGAGCCTTGATCCTAAGTCAAGGACTACCTGTATTCTGGAGAAACATTGACGGAGGGT